CCTTACTGTGGCATTTAGAACCTATTCACTGTTGATTTCCACAAGTCTTACTGCAGCGTGCTTCTCTCTCATTTTCTTAGCTTTTGCTGCACACTTCTTTCCTCTCTGTGTGTGCACATGATTTTATTGGCTTATGTGCTCCCTCCCCACTATGAGCGATGTTTGTTCTTGGTTAACTAAAACATACAGATTTCATTCCAATATTTTAATGGATTTTTTGAAACAAATTTCCCAGACATTGCTATAGTTTTCTTTAGAAGCTGAAGAAGTATCTCACTTTTTTTCTGAATTCTTTCATGGGGATTTAAAACGCATCAGCAGATATTATTTGCTTGTGATCATGTCTTTAAATGGGTGTGATCAGATTAATTAACACTTTCCCCCCACACAAGGTAGATTCTTTTTACTTATTTCTTTATTGTTTTTCTCTTTTCCTCATTCACCCAGCACTCACTGAGCAGGTGTTCTGGGGATTCTCAGATGAGCAGCTGTCCTGGTGCCCTCTGGGCAGCCCAGGGGGAAAGTCAGATGTAGAGACAGATCAAACAGGACACTTAGATTGCAAGGCATGATGTCACTAGTACCAGACTTGGTGACATCTACATTACCATCAACCTCACACTCAAATACCCTATGTCAAAATTTCACCTCTTGCACACCCTACATCATAGCTGCCCCGTAGGTTAGTATTCGTGTTTGGGAGTCCACTTTCAGGAATGGAGTCTGGGAACTTCCAGGGCCAGTAGACCAACTTGGCCTGGGACATCTATATGGACTGCACCCCTCAGAACCTCCCAGAAGCACAGCTCTACTGGTAGGTGTGGACATATTCATTGTGCTGGGAAGATATAAAAAGACAAATGCTGGGAGGACACATTTTCTGGGCTTTCCTTTTTCTTCAATCTAGCATCAAATGTATTTAAAAAAAATCAAAACAGTAATACACGTTAAAAAGTCAACTTCCTGTTAACAAAACTAGGTCCCTTTACCTATGGAGGTAAATAATTTACCTGGAGGCAGTAACTAGGAACATTTTCATGTACCTCTTTCTAGATATTTCAATGTGCACATAAGCACATAAAAGATTAATCAATCTAGCCAGTTATCATTTAGCTAAAAACTATAAGCAACCTCCTGACTGCTCCCTCCCCAGTGGGTATTTCCTATTTTTTCTCTCATTTAAGTAGTCCTATGAAAGAGCTGAGTGCAGCTAAAGGGGATTTACAGATGCGTGAATAGACAGACATAAATATAAAATAGTCCATGTGAGGGATGCCAAAACATGTTTAAAAACCTACACCCGCTCTTCTAACTGGATTTCACTTCCTGTTTAAAGATGCTTATTCTGTCCCTTCTCATTTGGAAGTGAGACGACTCACCTTTACCTCAACTTACACTGCAGCAGGCAAGTAACCTGCCTGAGGTCACCCACCTGGCTTGGTGGCAGAGTGAGGTGTGGGGGGGCTCTGTGTGACTGCTGGCGGGCACGCCACCACGGAGGAGCTCACCAACTCCTTCCCAGGCATGAAGATGTCTGGTCTTCCCTGTTAAACGTACTCCACCTTATGGGGTCACCCTCTTGCCCTGAACAGAAGCAAGGACTCCCCGTATGTTCCCCAGCCTCAGCCCAGGCGAGGATGCAGCCCTCCTGATGGCCCGCTAGCAATTTCTCGAGAACCATTTCCATGCTATTTGGATGGCTCCTTGCTTTTCTCACCTCTCCTTCTGAGTTTCTCAGTACGCTCTTGACGCAGTCACATTTTGTACTCTGGTAGTTTGCCCATTCCTCTCTACTGGGATTATAAGCCAGCGTATACTTGCAGTTTCAGAGAGGAGAGCCTGGCTCCCCTCACTTTTCTCTTGAGCGTCCTGTCTGCTGTGACTCCAGAGCACCCCTGTTCTCTGGCCTGCAGCTTGTGAGGTCTTCTGCCTACAAAGTCCAGTATGAAAGTGACAGCATTTGTGAACTGCTTAATTGTCAGCATTGAGACTGAGACTTTTTAGACATTGCAGTGGATGTGGGGAAAGAGAGACTCCTGGGAGTTGGGGTGGCTCCACCTCTGGCCATGTGGCCCCTGCATGTCCTGTCCTATCTCTGGACCCTCAGCTTCTTAATCTGCAGCATCATGGCCTGGCTGCAGGCGGGTCTCCCAGCTCCAGTCTAGTGTCTGGGAATCCAGAGGATGGCACTGGTTCTGTAACTAACCGGCCTTGCCCATACCTGACTCCAAGGAGCCATTCGGGGGTCTCATCTGTAACATTTCTGGGTTCCCAAGCGAATGTGTAGCTGAGCAAGGAGGAAATAGTATTTGAAGAGTGACGTTTTTGGTTTAGCATCAGCATGAAATTCATCAGCAATAATCCCCATCAATACTACTGTACACCTGAAACCATGCCTTCAAAGCATCTCGTTTTAAAGCAACTTTTGGGTGTCCTTACCAAGCCACACCAGGCCCCTGTCAATGGAGAACAGACCACCCAGCATTTACCTCTCCCTATTCCAGTAAGTTCTTGGGAGAAGAACCAAGCTTGGAACCATTTATCCACCAAATGGCAACTGTTTGAACTGACAGTGAGTCTGTGTCTCAACCAGCAGAGGCTGGAGTCTGTGGATTACTGAACAATTTGGTGCCAAGCACAAATACCATGGACGTTTAGCAACAAGAACAGATAACCCGAGTCATTCATCACATTCAACATTGTTTAGAATGGCTAATGCAAAGCTGAAATGCAGAAGATCCCCAGCTGATGGGAGGTGGGAAGAGCGCCAATCCAGAGAGAGCAACACATGGGTCACTTCATCTGATACTCTCCTCTACCACCATGGTTTCCTTTTTTAAAATTTGTTGGAGGCTGGGGGAATTTCTTCACTTCAACAGCATGCTGGCTAAGAACATGCAGTCCGACCAAACAGACTCTTTAAACCTCAGTTATCTCATCTGTAAAATGGGGATATGTTAGCTCCCTCAGAGGGCTGTGGTGAAGATCAGACAAATGTATTCAATAGACGACTTAGAATAGATGGTGGGCATGAGTGAGTGTCCGTGAGTGGCTGACAGTATTAGTTTCATATCATGGGGAGAACCACTGTTTGGGTTCTAAGGGTGTCCTATGTGCCTGATGCTGCTATAGCCTTTGTATATGTGGCAGTTAGGGGGAAATCTGCAGAATTCCCCAAAGAGTCCTAGATAACCTTGACTTCTGGGTGGATTCTAAATGCACTATCAGTTATTCTCAAGTTCTGTTAACAACCACCATAAGACCAAGTCTCCCACATGAGAGAGTCGTCTCAGCTATGTGATGGGCACACTGAGACTCGGGGAGATTAAGTGACATGTCCAAGGTCACCATGAATGGAATTGGCAGGGAGAGGCTCAAACCCAGGCCTTATGATGCCAAGTTTCCCACCAAGCCACAGTTGCTTCTCTTCTTCACCCGGGGTTTACTGTTTTCTGTCAAATATGATCCATATTATACTGATGAGTCGTGCATTAGAAACGGGAATATGTTTAGAGGTGTACAGTTTTCCACAAACACACAAAGATAGAAGAACATTTTAAGAAAAGAAACTACCCCCTAAACAATCCCTTTCTTCCCCCCCCAAAAACTTTAGGAAATTGAAATAGTTAAAGAATTCTTTTTCTTTTGGGTGCTAAGTGGTATTTTTTAGGTCAAATTGTCACTGAGCACTTACCTGAACTTAATACCTCTGAACAACAGGTTACATCATAAGATGTGTAGGTAAACCCCTCTACGGTGTGAATTCACTGCAGCCCCTTCAGACTGTGAGCCATTTATAGCATGTCCCGAATTCAAAGCCAGATGGGCTTCTTCCTCAGAGGCTGGTCCCTGACCCAGGAAGGTAGGGAGTGGCTGCCATCTGGGCTCGGATTTGCTTTGCACTCACTGGGTCTGGACCCCACCTACGGGGTGCAATCCATTCCCCACCAGGCCTGAAGTCAGTGGAGTTCGCCAATACCATCCATTTACTCATGACGAAATCAGACATCTGGGAGTTTAGGCATCTCCCTTCTCAAAGTGCTCTTTGCGGAGAAAAATAACAGCAATGTAAAACCCTCTCAGCATGGAAGAGGGTGGCATCTGTCTTTTACTGAGACACGTCCCTGAGATAAAGACACAAAGCCAAGTATGCTTCAGGATATAGTAAGGGAAGCATTTTGAAACCAGTATTCGGAAATCTGACTGTACTGGATGAGAAAACCAACATAAATTAACCTTCATGAATCCCTTGTTCAAAATGACCTGCCGAACTTAGCACAGTGTCGGGCAATATTTGCAGGTCTGGTCCTGGGAGGGGAAGCCCTCGTGACCCTCATCATGTCTACAGGTGAGCCTGGTCTCTAAGTTCTTCATTGCTTTTGGCTTCACCTCTCTTACATAAAGGGAGGCCCGTCTGAGAAGATGCAGTTGCATTAACAAATCTATTATTTATACTCCACCTCCTTCCATAAAGGGTATTAAATTAAATGTAAATGGACACACAAACATTTTCAAAACAATGTTCTTATTCTTTCCAAGGTACTGGTTGTTTTGAGGAAACCCTATGGTTTTTATGATTCTATAATACGCATCTCCACGTGCTCTTCTGTTACGAATCTGTCAAGGTAACACTTGCTGAGTAGCTCAGGGTGCCGGTCGGTGGGCCACGGTTCTGCAAACAGACCAGAGACACTGGAATGGAGAAGCTTATTACGTGTCCTGGAGGAAGTACGTGGCACACCTTGAGGGGCCACATGGGGAGGTCAAGGAAGAGAACAGACAGAGAGGGGCAGGACGGAGGCACGTGCCTTTGCTTGGGTCCATGGTTAGAATGCATTGGGAGTTCTTGAGCTAAAGCCAGGTTGGTCAATTTGAACCAAAAAGAGTGGGATTTGGCGATCCCCATGGTGTCTTTTCTGAAGGGTCCATAAGGGGAAGACCCTGGAGGTGGGGGAGACTTTATCACAAGGGCCTCTGGGGAAGTCCTATCAGGAACTTACATTTGCTGTGACTCTGTGGTGGCTCTCTAGGGCACACACTTGCATGAGGGGCTGGTGTCAAGTTGAGGTCCCACACATTCCTTGGCCAAACAAGATGGATGCAGAGGGGGCAACACCACGTAGTAGCTTAGCCAGGCTCTCAGCTGCTGCCAAAGGGCCATGTTCATGTGAGAGTGATCTGTTCTTCAGGATGCCAGGGCAGGGGCTGAAAACGCACACAGAGCAGCAAATTTCTCAGTCACTACAATGGCCCAGTGTTTTTGCCCAGCAGATGTTTTCTGAGCGAGCTCCTCCTAGGGCCAGTGAAAAATGGCATCTCTGCAAGGGGTAACTGGCAAGGTCTTGTCATCTCACAAGTGGGTCAGACTTGGTGAGAGAGGCTACAACTTTGTGATGGCACCTTGAACAACTAGACATCACAGTTGTTATGGCTACTCTGGAGGTAAGGGACACCTCATGGTACAGGTCAATTGGGAAATGCATGTAGGACTAACAGAGAGTGCCTTCTAGAGCAGAACGTCTGTACTGGGGCTGACAGTGCTTATAACACGACCAATGTCTAGGAAGCCATTGTGCGTAAATCTTTGTATGTTTGTACATTTCCACCTAATCTTGTTTAATGAAGGCATTAGGGAGAAAATTCCTCGCAGCTCCTAAAGAAGATGAAAGATGGTTTGCATACATCTGCAAGGAGAAAAGTATCCTAAGAATCAAGTCATGGTACTGAAAGTCTTACTGGGGAAGTAGGCAGAGTATCTCTGCTCACAGGGGCAGAGGAAGAGCAGAATATTATCAAGGCACCCTGCTAATCATTGTTGTCAGCCTGGGGAAGCTGCTGCCAAAGACCCTGAGATCCGAACATCCCTCAAGATGAAGAAACTAAACACAGGAGAAACCGTAATGGATAGTAACTTCTAAACAATGCCTAAGAGATGGAGATCAACAAGTTCTAGGGCATTTTTGGTCATATCTGCTGTTCTCTGCTATGCCCTGTGGAGGACACAGAATCTATAGGGATTTGTCTTGTTTTACCAGATAGTTGACAGAATCTTTTGTTTTCAAGTTTATGCCAGATTTTCAGATTTTCACCAGATAGTTGACAGAATCTTTTGTTTTCAAGTTTATGCCAGATTTTCAGATTTTCTGGGCAAATCCAATATCTTGATTCTTAAAAATTCTCCATCTTGTAGAGTTACTTTAAATAAACAACTGAAAAAACAGAGCTCAACCAGAGAGCTTGTAATTATTTTCTACACTTTCTTTACTCCAGTAATCTGGATACTATAATGATTTTATAAGTGGAGTAGGTAGTAGGCACACAGTGCATTTTTATTATCATTATGTATGTTTTAAATGAAGCTATTAAAGATATTTGCATTAATTTTCAATTTCTGCCCAAATTTCAAAATTTCTTCTTCCTCCTGCCATTAGGATTGTAGGGCTTCGTGCCTCAGTAGGTATTCTTGCCCCAGATCCCTGGGTTCCAAGATGATACAGCATTTTCTACTCATAGGTCAGGCCTGGCTAAGAAACTGGGCATCCTTTGAAAAGATGTTCATCTGTTCATCTGTCACCAAGGAAACAGACTGCCTGATGTTGTATACACAGCTAGGGTGAGGAGGTCTTTGTTTTTTTCCCCTTGCCCTGTTCGTTGCTCCTTCATAGCTCTGCTGCTAAATGAAGGGAGGCTTAAACTGAGCTGTCATTCAGTCAAAATAAGAAAAAGAAGAGCCTGTTCTTTGAATAGGGCTGGATACCAGACAGGTGGGAAAACCTGGAGCCTCCCTTCTTCAGGTCAAACTTATGCTGAGTTACATTTGTTGAATGAATGAACAATAGATGTTATTAGAAAAGCAAAGTCATTCTAATGAGCCACAGGAATTTGACAGACACTTATAAGTTATTTGAACTTACCTTTGGGATACTGTAAGTCCTAGAACAACGATCTTTAAGGAATAGTGCCCTTTTCATTTCACAGAACTAACAAATTCCAATGAGCCTGCCCTGGTTTCTGATAATCCCTGTTGGTTTATGCTCAGTGGATGGCTGACTTCCCGGGAGATTGCTGATCATACATCCTAGGTCAGGACCACATTTTGGGTCCATACTTGGTAAATACAAGTGCTTAAGTTTAATTCACTTGGTAGCAAGATTGTGTGTGGGGGAAAAAAGCACTTTAAACTGCAGAACCAGCTATGCCCCTCAAGCTCTCTGGGCATTTGTTTCTTTTTCTGAGGAATGGAAATGCCAGCACCTGCTTCCTTCGAGCATCACTGTCAGAGCGGCTTGAAAAACTCCCTGGCCTCAGGTTATGGATGCTCAGTACTTAGTCATCTGATTTCGCATCTTCTCATCTAAGAATGCCTGTATTCGGCTCCATGTGGGGTTGAAGAACCAAGGGTCATATTGAATAGGAGCTTCTCATGTCTGCATTCTGTACTACTATACACCCCCGAAGGCAGCAAGTCACACCTAGCAGAGGCTTGTAAGGAGAGGAAGCAGAGGTTGCTTAGCAAAGATCAAGAGAAGCCCTCCTTGAATAAATGCCACGTTACTGTGAGATCCTTTCTGTCACAAATCTGGTTATTAACTAAATATCTGCAAAAAGAGAGACAGTTTTGAGATAGTATGGTGGTGCGGGGTGGCAGATAAGCCCCCCACCGTTCCACATGTGTATTTAGAGTGCAAGCACCTGCCTGTGCCCTGGGAGGGAATGACAGGAGCATGGCTATTGAGTTTGAAACATCCCTTCCCACCACCCCAGCCGAGAGAATCTTAAGTGAGGAAGGGTCTTCACCATAAGCAGAACACCGCACTGCTCCACAAGGAACCACCTACCCTTTGCAATAGGGACAACCCAGCTCATTGCTAATATCATCTGGCCTGGAAGGTACAGCAAAAACCAGCCACAGAGAAATGTGCTTCTCGCCTGGATGTGTGGGTGCCCCACCCAGTGCCTTTGTCCCCTCCGCTTGTGTTCCAGCAAAGTCCGCCCCAGTTGTTAATTGAAGATCATGTCCCTTATAAAGGGGGTTGCTTATAACCCGCTGTGGTAGTGGAACACAGGAAACCTCTTCTTTGTATGTACCAGAAAAAAAAATGTCATTTTTGGTATACTGCACTGTTCTCGTACAGATCTGCACAAGCCCCTTTCCCAAGTCTCCTTTACCTGCCCTTCAGAGCATAGCCAATCTCTTCTAGGGGTCATGGTTCACGATTTGCCTGAAAATTGGTCGTCTGTGATGCACAGAGGAGTCAGGTCCATGCACAGGTTTTTCAGACTTCGGCGAGAGATGCCCAACGCAGTGGCATCCACTAACATTTTATGTTAGGTTTTGGCAGGGGCACCTTAAAGCCGGATGGAGAAGGTGACGGATCTCCTTGCATTAACAGCAGTACGACCTGAAGTTCTGTCCCTAGAACCCCGCGTGCAGGGCTGGAGGCGCTGGGGCGCTCAAGCAGCGCGTCCCAGGACCCGACGGCTGGTTCCCGCCTCCCGGCTGGGCGCAGAAATCTCCTCGGAGGACACCCAACTTCTCCGCCTGAAAGGAACGCGCGGCCTAGCATTTCCGCTAGATGGCGCGCTTTCCCCGAATCCGTCCGAAAGACACTCGATTTGTATAAAGTAAATACAACCCCACGCCTTCCGAAACCACACCACATAATAGCAGCTCGCGGCTCCCATTAAAAATCTCAATTTGGGGGAATTGATTCTACCTCCGAGCAAATCTAATGCAATTACGTTAACAGAATGCAATCTAGAATTGCCTCCAAGCGTCCCCAACATCCGGCATCCCCCTAAATACACCTGTCCCCCAGCCCCGCTTGCTCCCTGGGATGCGCCACGGTTCGAACGTGGCTCGGAGTCGTCGCTGTGCGCCGCGCGCCATGCCCATGGGTCCACTTAGGAAAGCCGAGGCCCCTCTGGAATCCTGCCCCTTAATAACATCCCAAGTCCCGCACCTTCCCGCGCACCGGTCTCTCCCGCAAAGAACCGCTCCGATCCCAGCCTGGACGGGGCGCGGCGCCGACTCCCGCGGCTCTGAAGCTGGCTGGGCATCCAGGCACCCAGCGGAAGAAAGGGACCTGGGATGGCCAAGGGGGTGCTCACGGCGGGACAGCCCGGAGGCCGGCTGCGTCCCAGGCTCGGCGGGCGGGCGCAGCGGCCTCCCCGCGAGAAGGTGCGGCGCCGGAGCGCGGGGCTCCCAGCCCGCACACAGTGGGACAGGCGTGCGCCGGGTCTGCCCGACCACGCGCGCTGCCGGCGGCCCGGGGAGAGCGTTTCAGGGAAAAAGCAAATACCAAACCACAAAAACTTTGCTGCCGCCAAGAGCTAAAGCGATCGAGGCGCAGCAAAGCTGCCGATCTGGGGAGGAAGGGAGTGAGATGACACGCGGAGCCCGGGAGCGCCGGAGCGGTGCGGCGGGCCGGGCAGGCGGCGGCGGCGGCGGCGGCGGAGGTCAGAGACGGGGCCCGCCCGCGCCCGGCCCGCGCTTACCTTGGCGGCTGCATGGGCCCCTGCGGCCCGCGGGGGGTGGGGGGCGCTGGCACGGCTGCGGGCGAAGACGGGCTGCCGGGGCGCCGCTCGTCGGCCCCCGGGCAGGGCGGAAGGGGCTCGGCAGGCGCAGGTCCCCGCCGTCCCGGCCGGCTCAGCAGCGGCCGGGGGCGCGCCGCCTGCTCCCAGGCTGCATGCCTGCGGGCGCTGGAGGGGCCGGCCCGGCAGCGCAGGGCGAGGGCTTCCCAGCCGAGCGGCTCGGGCGGCGCGGGCCGCGCTCGGGAGACGACTGCCGCGGCGGGCGGCTCGGGCCAGCCCCCTCCTCGCCCGGCCCCCACCCGCCGCCGCCGCCGCCGCCGCCGCCGCCGCCGAGCGCCGCGCCGCGAGGTTCGTGTGCTCGCCGAGGGGAGGGGGCGGGCCCGGCGCCCGGGGCGCGGGCGGGGGGCGAGCGCGCGCGAGCCGGGGGAGGGGCCGGAGGGGAGCGGGGGTGCACACACGCCCTGCCCAAGCGCGCCGCGGCCGCACCCTCTCGCCGCTGCACCAGTTGGGGGGGGGACGGGGGTGCGCACGCCCCGAAGTCGAGACTTCCCTAAACGCACGAGTTAGGGGGGCGCGGGCTGCAAGTGCGGCGACCCTCGAGGTGCCTCCAACTTTCCTAATTTCCCGCTGCGGCGGCTGCGGGGAGCACGCTTTCCCCCTTCAGTGCCCTGGTGGTCAAGGGGGAGTTGCTCTGAGATTTCTGGCATAGACAGTCACCTCCAGGAGGAATGAGGTTGCTCCCTGCGGAGACGCACCTTTGTTCTATGGAGAATTTAGTTTTAAGAATTTCCTTTACAAATTAATACCTATGTATTATTCAATATGTAATACACGAATACGTTCTTGTGTACAATTTCACACAACGCAAGCGTATCGAGAGTAAAAGGAAGACCGTATCACATCTCCTCTCCATTGCATCTGCTCCCCAGAGGTAACCTCGGGTCGGGGTGTGCTCCACTGCGGTTCTTTTCAGTCCGTGCTCCGGGCTTTTAACAAGCACACTCAGAATGCAAGTGGATTCTCACGGGCTTTTCTAAAGAATGTTTCACCATGCAGCACATGCACGCACTGCCGAGAACACGGCGGCGGTAAATCCCCAGAGGCTCCGGAGTCCACGGAAAGACCCTTGCAGTGAAACAGCAAAGGGCCACCCAGTCGCCGTGTCCAAATCTGAAACCCCAGCTGGGGCCTGAAGTCAGTCTGAGCGCACAGCTCACGCCCAAATTAGCATCGCACGGTTAGGGAGAGATTTGCCTCTTAGAGGGGGTTAGGAAGCCTCCTGTTCTTATAGAAAACAAACTGTCATGGATTTTGATATGATGAGAGCTCTCTGGATTTGCAAAATGAAAAGGTATCATCCACATTTAAAACGCAATTATTATTTATGATTGTGGTCTTGAGGGATGTGGTTTTAACTCAATATTCTGCGTTTTATTGGGCAGATATACCGAGATAATCTATAACTGGGATGTACATAAAATCCATGTGATTTAGCAGAAAGGGATTGGATATTGCAATTGCTGGCTTCTATAATTAGCTCTGACCTTGGGCAAAACATTAAGCTCTGCCAGGTCTCAGTTTCCTCCAAGTACTGGAGTTACACTTGATGCTGGGGTGTGTGTGTTCCAGTCCTAATATTCAGTGAGTAACTAATTCCTTCCCTCACTCAATCTTTCAGCTCAGTTCCAGTATCTCCCCCTTAGGGAAAGGTTCTCCCAGACCCCATGCTTTTCCTTCCTAACACCGATCTCATTTCGCAATTATGCAATCATACGAGTGACCCTTCTATAACTGTGACCCTCTTCCGCCAGACTGTGAGGGCCAAGAGGGTAGGAACCAGGACCTCCTGCGGTCATTACTGCATCCCCAGCACTTAGTAAGTACTTGGCACATAATAGGTATGCTATCAGAATTTCTGAATGACTATCACCCAGATAATAAGATTTCTTACTGCTCTTCCAAATCATTTGGCATTTTCAAAAGATCTATACGTGGAAACATCTTGTTTTAAAATAAAGACTTTGGAAGGTACCCAGCAGGGTTTTCCTGTCTTAGGGGGACAAACAGTTGACTGTCTGTATGAGGACGGACCATTCTTAGCTTAACAACAGGCTGTGGAAGCGGCCAGCAGCTATTTACCTTGATGAGGATAGGCTCCTGTGGCGAAGACAACGAATATTAATGTTACTCATTAAGTACTTGATTAAGTTGGAACCACGCTTAGGCAGTTGCAGTATACACATGAGCCCTCAGAATGAAATGAGGCCGTGGGGTGTGTTTAGGGTGCAAATTAACAAATGTACTGCTTTCAACCAACATTCTAGAAACATTCCTAATAGAAAGCTCCAGGGAATGCTTGTCTTTCTTTACTGCAAAAGGCCTGAATTCCTTAAAACTATGAAGAGGAAACAGGCTAACCTGGGTTCAAGAGTTAAAAAAAAAATCTAAGTTTCTCTCTTTTCCAATGCATGGAGTTGCCTAGGGTGAGGCTGAAATCTGGCCTCACATTTCTAGAGGAAAACAGGAGAGCTGGGGTCCCCATCCCTCCTTGGCTACTCTTTCCGTGTCCCTTTTTTGTGAGGGATATGTGCCGTGACCGGATCCTCCTCTATGCCCCTTGCGGAAGCCCTGTTTATGAGGACAGCTTTTAGCCTAGAGAGATGCGCGCTGCGGCTGATGGGGCCAAGCTGGTGGGAGGAGGCACCACGCCCAGCATGCGCAAAGCCAGCGCTACCAGGGCGTGGAGCAATTTGCCGTCTCTGTTTCACATGCGGGGTGGCACCTGCTGGGTGAGAGTACAGCCTCTACAAGTGCATTCTTAGTGAAACTGATGAAGGATCTCTTTCCAGCTGACAAAACCATGGGAGGTGAACTGGCATGCCTCCTCACCCAGGGCCAGCATCCGGGGCTGTCCCTTGGCCTTGGGTGCCACTCCATGACATTCTCTGGGGTAAATTCAGGTTCAAAAATGAAAGGGCACTTTAACGGAGAAGCAGGTCAGGAGTGCTCACGGGAGCTTGTTGAGGAAGGAGGGGCTGCCGGCCCCACCCGTGGCCTCAGTGAGACACCAGGAGGGCGTGGGTGGCGGGGACTTACTTGTTTTGCACCGACCTGAGGAAGCTGTGCGGGCAGGATGCCTCCCAGAGGAACCAGTGTATTTTGTGTCAAGCAGTTATTCCCTCGCCGGCCAGTGCGCGACCTCGCTGCAGGTGTTTACTTGAGGAGCACAGACTAACCCTTAAGACACTCGTCGTCCAGCAGGAGCAAGAAGAGCAGTTAGGCCTCGTGGCTGGGTGGCATGGGTGACGGGCCTTGGCGGCCCCTTTCCATCTCATCGGCTCCCTCTCCATGTAATTCTAGTGAGAGATGGTGCTTGTGCAAACGCAGCTTTAAGGCCAGTCTTCCAAGCAGACCGTGCTCAGAAGTCCCTACTGACATTTCGGGATTGACACTGCCAGGTAGAGGGGAGAAATGAAAGAGACAGAAGGAAAGTGAAAATACATCGTCGTGGGGGTTAGAAGACAGGGTTATTGCTAGTGAGAAGGTTTGGAAAAGTCTTTATGAAAGAAGTGTCCCTTGACGTGGTCTTGATGGGTGGATTTGATTTTAGTATGGGTGATAGGGAAGGAGGGTGAATACGCCAGGCAGGGGGAATCACATGAATAAAGGCGTAGGTGGGCAAGTTCAATAGGGAATCATTTAAATCTAGCTGGGATGTGTGTAGTGGAAAAGAGATGTGATGGGCCAAGAGGGTGAGTGCCATATTGAAGAGAACCTTGGTTGTAGAATGAGCAATAAGGAGCCATTGAAGGTCCATGAGCCGAGGAATAATGTAATAATGTAAGTGAAACTTTACTTAGGTAGCTCAATGGAAGATGGTTTGGAGACACAGGAGGCAGAAGACAAGCCAGAAGATTCTGTTAATCCTGGCATGATATGTTTGAGAGCATGACTCAATGTGCTGAGTATGGGGCCGATGGAAGATCCAAGTGTTCTATGGAAGTGGGAGATGGAGGAATATCAAAGCGTCGGAGGTGGTAAATGCTCATTACAGAGACTGGGAAATCAGGAAGAGAAGCTTGGAAAGGCAGTGGATGGATGGCAGTCAGACCAACCATCGTGAGCCCAGTGCGAGAAGGAGCCCCAAAACCATACTGTGAAAAATCACCTGATTTTCCATATTTGATAGTATGCACATGTTGTTTACACTAAAAACCCATGTGTCTGGGCCCATCATAAAAAAAAAGGGAAGACCTAATTAATTCATTGTTTCTGTGTAGCCCTCTTTCACCAGGCCAGTCATTTGCTGGCTAATGGTAAGGACCATAATCAAGGCCAAATGAAGTGCTGTTTTATTTTGTTGTTTTTGGTTAAAAAAAAAGTGGATTATTAGCCCCAGGGATAGAAAGCAAGTAACACATTCCTTCATTGTTGTTTTAAGAATTTGGACAACAGAATGAGGTGACCGTTTATAGCAGCCTTTTCCGTGTGGCTTTGACTCTGCTTTCCTGGCTGGTTTAGCCACGAGAATAGTTGGAGGGTTTGGGCAACCACAGTTGCAGGAGAACAGCTGGGATGTGGTCAGCGAGCATATCCACCCGCCCCACAACAGCACCCACAGAAGCCTGTCCTTGACAATTTAGAGACTTTGGGGCCAGCTGGCATGCTGTGCTCACTCATGGATTTGGCAAGGAGGGTAGGCTTGCTGACTTCTTTATTTCAAGGTAGGATCCGTTTGGGTTTTGTTTTGCTACCATCTACTGAGCCCCCACCTTGCTAGAACATTCTCTAATGTGGTACAGGTGCTTCCTTAGTCCTTTTAACACTCTGTGAAGTGCATCTAAGTATTTGTATTTTACAGGGAACTCAGGTTCAAAGAAGTTAAGTGGGTTGATGAGCTCATAGTAGAGTCAGGATTGGAGTCCCTATCTATCTGAGTCCCAAACTGGTGCATTTCCCACTAAGCATGTGTCCCCTCCCTCTTTACTGTCGTTTCCCTACCTTTCTGCTAGGCGTAAGCCAGAAACACCCACCCCACCATGATGGGGAGCACGTTCACTCCCCACTTTCTGTAAGGCTGCCACAGCTGGTGGAGTATGAATGTAGTGCCGTCACCTCCAGCTCAATGCACCCAAGGTCCACAGGGCAATCTCTGCCAGCAGTCTCTTCTCCTGGTGGGCTTTGGAGGGCTCTGCCAGTCTTGTGAACCATGGAGAAGCTCAGGGAGACATTTAGACATCCTCTAACTATTCGGTTGAACTTCCCAGGAAGTGACTGAGTCACACCTATTTCTGG